TGCTGCTGCTGCAGCTGCAATCTCTTGTTTTCTTTAGATAAATAAGTCCCCGAAAGTTCGAAATACAGGCGTATCTTTCAACAACCAACCACTTTTTACTTGCTGTCCTTTGTTTCGCATCTTTAAACTGTCAAACTTCTTTCACACATATACCTGCACCATTATTTGTTCAACGGGGGAAAGACCTGTTCAAGCCATCTGAGTACGACAGTCACCACTTCTACATTAAAAAATACACCTTTTTAAGGACCATCTAGCCATTCTAGTCGATCAAAATATTAAAATGGAATTTACTGCAGCAAAAATTAAGACTAGACTTAAGCTCTCTGTAGACAACTATTGCTAATTCTCTGTGACAAAAAAAAGCAATGAAAAAAGTAAAAAATCTAACGGTTTGAACGGTAAAGGATCAAAGATCGCAGCAGTAAACATGGTAACAAATGATGCTTGCAAATTAACCCTACGAACAGAGGAAGTTCGCAAATAAAACGAATGGAAAATAAGGCCTTTCTACGAAAGTCCAGCTGAATAGTGTAGTCTGACGGAAGTGAAATAAATAATTGAATAAAACTGACAGGCCGCTTTTGCCTGGACAAAACATCTGATATTACTGCCGAAGAAATAACCCATACGTTGTCAGCAAAAACCTGTCAAACTAAGAAAACAAATAATTTTAGTGGATAATTTATGTTCCAGCAGGAATATTTTAAGCAATAAAACAAAGAAAGCAAGCAGTGGAAAAAAAAATTCAAAATCAGTGGCAATATCACAGATCGGAATAACAGTTTAAGAATTACCCCGATAAACGTTGAGAAATGATAAATGTTCCAAGAATAACAGAGTATATGCAAACAGTTTGTTTCAAATTACTACGAAACAAAAAAGGTTTTCAAGCATAAAAAAATAACCAGTAAAATTGATGATAATCAAAATACCCATAATATTACATTGAATGAAGTAAAAATCATTTCTTTAAAATTGTTAGGTGCAGAAAAGAGCAAATGACAAGTCCGAAACAAAACTGGAAAATTCATTAAGACCAATTTGTCCAAAAACCTTCAAGTTAATAAAGAAAACCAGCGAGAAAAAAAAAAAAATTTGTACTCTTTGTTGCACATTATTAAAGTTACCAGAAAACCGCTTTTAGTAAAAACAACGAATTCGTCGTCTTTCCCACTCCAATTCAAAGAAAAAAACAAAATATAGCCAAAGAAAGATCAGATAATATAGAATAGGTATTTACTGAATTTCAGGCTGACTGTAATATCGACGATCGTTGTACAAAAAAACAAGAAAAAGAGGATGATCGTTAGGCTTTCGGTCCTTAAAACTCTGAACTGCGGAAACAGGGGAAAAAACGATAATTCCTAAAAAGGTAATTCCATCTATCAGAGACTGCAGGGGGATAACTCAACCAAAGTACCGCCAAGTGAAAAATCTTAAAATTTGTTGGTATGGAATCGGTTTTTACCCTATGTAAGTTAAAATTGATTGTTAAAAAACTGACGACTTTCGACAACTTTTGCTGATTATCGGAGACTCTAAACGACAGTGGT